ACTTTGATTGTTTAAAAGCAAGAATATATATTTTTTACAAAAACAAAGGAACACTGCATAATTAGGCATAAAATTTAAGAGGAACGTGTCGGCATCCCCACTTCTACGCAGTTTTAAGAATATGTATTCTTGGCAAAAGAAAATACTGTTTATAAAAACAAATAAACAAATTTAAGAATATCTATTTCTTAATATAAAAAAATTAAAAATATCGTATTCTTGATATAAAAATATTAACAATTGTACCAAGAAACCAACTTAGATTTCCTTCAAGAATATTTAATATTTGAATTAAAACATGCAACTTTTTAAAACAAGAACCTGTTTCTTAATACTAGAATATTTTCAAAAATACAAAATTCTTTTTTAAAGAAGTTAAATATTTTTAATTGAAATATATATTCTTATTTTAAAGCAAGTTGACTTGAATTAAAAAAATATTTTCAAGATGATTGGTATTCTAAATGTAAGAAATCTTTTTTTTCAGTGTAGATTTAATAAACATTCTTTTGCTTTCGTCTGATTTCTTAATTTCTATGAACAGAAACATTCCTAAAAGACCGCCTCATAGTTTTGAGGGGATAGAAAAATATCTTATATAAAGAACAAATTAATTTATCATCTGACGAAAGCAGGGAATAAAAAAATTGTTTAATTTCTGATTAGTATTTGTATTTTTAATTTTTTTACACCTTGCATATCGCACAAGATTTTCATGTTGTAAAATACTTTCTATTTCAAAAATTTTGTTTTTATTATTATAGTGACATAAGTTGAACAAAAAAAACATAAGAATAAAATTAAGTTTAACTTTAACCACAAAAGTAAATTGATTTTTATTTGAAAGAAAACTGTTTTTTATTTTTATTAATTTACCTTTTGAATATTTTTAATAAAATGACATTAAAGACATTAAAGTTGTACTAATTTTTAAGCTTTATACTACAATTTACCACATACACTATGAAAAAAGCATATTTTTTGAAAAACAATTAAATTATTGATTTTTGTCCAAAAACCCTATTTTTGTCCGCACTGTGCGACGTGGCGATGAAGCAAGGTTGTTATGTGAGCTGTCAATTGTCGCGCGATGTGCTTTTGTTGTCCAATCAGAGCAATTGTTTTCTTTATAACCACAGTGTGGCCAACTTAGAAGTGTTTCCCCTAAATTTATTGAAAAAAAGATAGATCCATATTCAAAAAATGTAATTGTCAAAATTTAATTAATTAATAATTAATTAATTTACATTGGTGCATATTGTCATTTTCAATTATTATTCAAAAAACGTAATTGTCGACAATTTTGATCAAAATTTGAAAATTACAAAAGATTTTCGATATTTCCTAAAAGCTATAGCTATAGGTATACCTATTTATATCAATATAGGTATGAATATACAATAGTAATAAGAATAAACATACCTACATTTATTTAAATAGTCTTTAGGAAATATTGAAATTTATTTTAAATTTGGACAATTACGTTTTTCGAATAATTTCTGCACCGAAAAAAATAATGTAGTTGAGTTAACGTTTGTCATTTTTGAAAATGTTGTTTCATCAAAAAACCTATTGGATTAATCTATATTTTGGGGTCAAAGCAATAGTCATAGTTTGTCAAAGTTTATTTGTTCATTTGACAGTTAAAATATTGATTTAACATAAACTAATTTTTTGAATTAAAATGTTTATCCTATTTTGATTTAATAGCTGGAATTGGTTGAATCAAATACTGAAATTTTTAGGATTACCTAAAAAAACTATTAAATTAAAGTTTAGTTGCTCTTTAAATCCAAAACATTAAATTTGTTCATTTAACAAATTGTAAATGTTTCTTTAAAATTTGTTAATTTTGCATTCATAAAATTGCCGTGAAGGGCGCTTCGAACACCCACGCCACGTCATTAGACGGTGTTGATCACGTAATGTTCTTACATCTCGCCTCAGTTGGCTTACGATAGGAGTATATAAGCTCAGGTAGCCGTTTGTTTTCGGTGTATTCCACAGTGGAACCCACTACACCAAATTGCCCGACACTGATTATCAGTGACTGATAAGACCCTCAATATAGGTGGAATCAGCTGTTTGTCGGTAGGTATTTGAAGTAGGTGTATGTATCTTGGGTGGAACGCACTCAAAACAAAAACTCTGGCGAGGGAAGGTTCAATTCTTTCTTTTTATATTAATTCCATAATTTAATTAACCCAACATTGGCGCCAATTATTTTAATGAATATGCTAAAAAGGTTACCTGGACATTTCAAGAAATTTATCTTAACATCTTAAAAATGTTAGCACAACCATTTTCGAAATATTACTCCGACATATCAAGAATGTTTTATTAACCAGATTAGCAGATTAGAACAAATATTCTCATTTTGTTCATTTGACTAATATTTGTTGTTTAATTAAACAATACAATTTGACATTTTTAGATGGTTAAGTAAACGTGCAAAAACCATTGCTTGTATTTAAAGTGCATAAAGAGTTGAATTAATATTTTTGTTGTTGTTTCAACAGCTTATTTTTTCAGTGTGAGAATGACACCGAAAATTTTAAAAATATCCGCGAAATAGGAAAAAGGAACTAAATAAAAGTATTGGTTATTGAAAGAAAGATAGCAGAGAGACAGATAGATTCTAGCGCTCTATAATTGACCATATGCAAGGAATGCGGTCGATGTTGCCAATGGTAAAAAAATAAAATTCCCTATTGGGAACGAATATAATTGAATAATTATATTATATTAATTATATTAATATAATTGAATAATTATATTGAATTGAATAATTATATTACGTTGGCTACACTGAAATTTTGAATTTCCCGCACAAACTGACATACATTCTAGTAGTTCCCAGAGATAAATGTTGTATAATAAATTAAGGTGCGAATTTCAAATGTGGGATTTATTATTATTTATAATTATTAAAAAAAAAAGATGGAAATTAATTTAGTTTGTGCGGGAAATTCAAATTTTCAATGTAGCCAACGTAATATAATTGAATGTTCCCAATAGGGAATTTTATTTTTTTACCATTGGCAACATCGACCATATGCAAGGAATGCGGTCGATGTTGCCAATGGTAAAAAAAATAAAATTCCCTATTGGGAACATTCAATTATATTACGTTGGCTACATTGAAGATTTGAATTTCCCGCACAAACTAAATTAATTTCCATCTTTTTTTTTAATAATAATAAATAATAATAATTCCCACATTTGAAATTCGCACCTTAATTTATTTTACAACATTGGAACTACCTTCTTTATCTCTGAGAACTACTAGAATGTATGTCAGTTTGTGCGGGAAATTCAAAATTTCAGTGTAGCCAACGTAATATAATTGAATGCTCCCAATAGGGAATTTTATTTTTTTACCATTGGCAACATCGACCGCATTCCTTGCATATGGTCAATTGGCTAACATAAGAGCCTGGGCCTTTACGTAAAGCCGGGTCTACAATTGTCGCAGGTCGCAGATCGCAAAACATAAGCTTGCGCAAAGCACCCAGCTGACAAAAGAACCTTGCTCCATTGCCACCTCGCACAGTGGGGTATTTGAGCGATCTGGGCGGTCAAAATTTTTTAGTGGTTAAATTGGGTCGAATTTTAATAATCTGCTGCTTTTTAGTATATTTAATAAAATTTAAAGGAAAATTGCTAAATATTTAAAGAAAATCAATATTTATTCAAACATAATTAATTATCACAAATAAAAACTTTTTGGAACTTAATAACGAGTTAGTCAGAAAATGAGTTGCCTTCGTCAGACATTAATTCAGTATCATCTTTAGTTTCCTCGTCATAAAAATTCTGTACCGTATCGCTTTTTGCTGGAAGTTCAATACAAAGCTTCATTTCCATGATTTCCTTAAGAAATGGTTTAGTTTTTTTCCGAGGTAATGGCCTCATGTCTGTTAATAATGGATCGGAAGTTAGCAGTAATCTATTTAGCACATCTTGATTACAAGAGACCCTTGAAAACTTTCTGGCAAAATTTTGACGAAACAAACGGAAATGTCTGTTTCGTGCTTCTGCAGCCTCCTCAGATAGTTGGACAATTGGAAGTAATGCGTGCTTTATTACCTTTGGACTATGCATGCATTAATATTTTGTGCATAGTCAGCGTCATAGGACACCATGAATACAGCTGCATATATAACTCTGCTGTTTCCTTGGTAAATTTTGTACCCGCTTGATATTGTTTCCAGAATTACTTTAAAACGAAAAATTAACTTTATATCGATGCCTGGCTTGTGTTTCCGTCATTAGTATTGCCAAATCCAGTCCTAGGCATGTCTACCAATAAACCCATTTTAACACGAAAATCCTTTTGGATCTCGGCCTTCCTTTGATTTATTATGGATACATCATCTTTTTTTTATTATTCTTCCTTTTTTCAGCGGCAATCTGTACGCCACGTGTAACAAACTTTCAAATATGCGAATCCTAGCGTGCAAGATTGATAATCCAAATTTTAGCGCCTTTGGAGTAACTTCTTGTTTTGTTTTTTATTGTCGTCTTTGTAGCGGCATTACACACCTTACCATCGACCATGGTGGGAATCATTATATAAGTGACATAATAATTATTATGACTTAAGTCTTGTCCTTTACTGTTATCATAGAAGCTTGTAAAGAATTAGTTGCATTTTCTACATGCTCGATTTCTTGAAGAGTAATATCAGTTTATATAACGTGTCGATGACGGTAATGGATTCTGCCAAATCACCTTTTTATTTATGGAACATATGAGCTACAGTGGCACAAATGAGCTTTGAAATACGTTTGCATCCGAATGGGCCACATTGTAGAATGTCTGCTTATATTGAGCTTGCTGAGATCCGTCACAACCCCATTTGCATCTCATTTCTAGTGAGTTTCTTTCTTCTTCATCTAATGTTTCTAAACCTTGACCCAAATACATCAACAATCTTTTCGAAGTGTGATCGAGTAACGCTTGAATATTAATTTATGCACAAGTCTCATTCACATTGATTAACTCCTTATCCGGATAGCATTCGATTTTGGCTCGTTGTATAATGCTATAGCAGGGATATAGTTTTTGTTAGCATTTCTTATGGTTTCATATTGGCTCCTGGAAAGGTTGGCTTCAACAAACAGCGACAGCGCTTGTGTAGGCGTCATTTGAGATCCTGTTTTATCCCCCTGCTGACTTACAGAATATGCTCGTTTGTATTTTGTAGCCCGTTTCGAAGAAGTAATTATTTCTATTTTGGCAGCGTTCCTTTTTCCAGAAGCTGATAATTTTACCTGAGTAGCATGAGTCAGTACCTCCACATCTACACTGTTCCTTAGTTCTTCAGTTTTTCTTTTTGATCTCTCACTTAATTCTTGAAATAATTTCTTAGGCCGGCCTGGTCGACTGGTAACTTTCAAAATTGTAAATTCGCCTTTCAACCAATCTTTATTCTTTTTAGTAAAAGTTTCCTCTTTATTACGTATGCTGCAGCCCATCGAAATTTTATTTCAGACTTGAAACGTGAAATATTATGCTTGATTTCCTTTATTTCGTCAACAGTGTAGTCATTATAACCTATCAGGAAATTTTCCATGAAATCAAGTTTCTCATTAATTGTGGGAAAATTTTGTTGATGTTGAAAAGCTTAATTCGAGTAAAAACTTTGACGTTTGATGGACCCAAGAGAAAGAAAAAATCATTAAAAACATAAATCAAGATTTGCTAAATTTTGAACCTTTACAGTTTGGACACTCTAATTTCCAAAAACCAAGTGATTCCGTGGCATGCCACTGCAGTTTTAAGCAAAGTCGTAAACATGAAAAATCATGATATATGAAACAAGTTTTTATTTTGCCGGGAAACTCCGGAAAGTATAACTACTTTGGTCCTTTTTAAAAATTATAAGCCAAACCAAAAGCAATAACAAGCTATTTTAAATTTCACATATAAGGCTCATAATAGAAACTAATCTTAATAAAAATATCTGAAAAGTATGCTCACTTACCTACCATGGTATAATCAAAAACAATACACTTGAAATTAAAACCCAAAACGAAACTATCCCGTGACCGTGAAGGTATATTTACACGTGTGGGACGGTAATAATGGAAGACTATTGTTCTCTTATGATCATTCTTTCGCGGAATAATTTGTTTTTCTACACGAATTTACTTTTTAAAAATCTATTTTTGACTGCTTAAATCGCTTAAATACCCCGCTGTGCGTTGCGGGGTGCTTTGCGCAAGCTTTTGTTCTGCGATTTCTTCTTCTTCTTCTTTATTCTTTTTTGCTTTTCCCTTCCGGGATTTGGCGCTCCCTTCTATTAGATCGATCGTAATGTGTTGATATTTGTTATTATTATTATTATTATGTTTTTTTTTTTTTAATTGTATTTTTGTTTTTCTATTTTTATTTTATTTATTATTATTTTTTATTTTTATCATGAATGACTTCCGCTGCAAACTATATCGCGATTTTATTTAAGTTTATAAATCTTAAAATTATGTCGATGGTTACTTTATTGGTCTTTTGTAAGACTGTGGCCATATTAAAGGGCCTTTCAATTCCCGCTTTGTGCAGCTGCCAGTAGAGATCTGGGTTTTCCCCCCCGTTCATTGGGCATTCCAGAAATATGTGGTCTAAGTCCCCATATTCCCCACATTCACAAAAAGGGTCGTCTCTTACCCCCACCTTGAATAGGTGGGAAAAAGATTGGCAGTGACCGGTTCGCATTCTTATTATAGCAGTTAAATGTCTACGGTTAGTAAAATTGATTTTTTTAAAAATTGGTACCTCTGGGAACCCAGCTTGTACCTTTGCGTAAAATTTACCCTTTGACCTAGATATTTCTCTCCATTCAGCATCCCACTTTCTTTTAATATCCCGTTTAATTGTGGGTATGAACTCATAAGTCCCCATTTTAGTTTCTACTGGGTTAATGAGGGTTGCCCCTAGTTTAGCAATTTGATCTACGGTTTCATTACCCTTGATTCCATTATGCCCTGGGATCCAGGCCAACCTGAACCCAGCCTTATCCAACAAAAGTTTCTTGGTAGCCAAGCTGAAGGCGTCGCATTTGGCATAATAAATATAATTAGTTAGCTTGGAAATAGCACTAAGAGAGTCGGACAGAATAACGCATCTGCTCTCCCCCCTCAGCCCCACCTCCTCCACCGCTTTTTTCACCGCAGCGATCTCCGCCGTGCAAATTTGAACACAGTCCGGCAGCCTGGCCGCAAATCTTATATTTAAGTCTGTACTAAATACCCCAAAACCCGCTCTGTGCTTGGTCTTTGATGCATCAGTATATACTACACAATGAGTTTGTCTTAAATTATCAATTTTACCATTGAAATCTGTGTCTGCGTTTAGTTGGCCCTTGACAAGCCCCAGGTTTAGGATTGGCATTTTGCTTGTCTGCACCTCCAAACCGTATTCAAAGCACGGCAGGAGATCGCTGCGGTGTACATGTTCAAAGAAAACTCTGACCTCTTGGTAGGCCTCCACCAGGCATCAAGTTTTGCTGATGTGAAGATTGTTAGATATCAGACGGCTTATTCTCTCCAGGGTATCGAGCAGGGGATGTGACATGTAGCCAGCCAATTTAATGGTAAATTTGGATGCTAACCATTTTCTTCGGTAACGGCAACTCCGAGCACTCCGCCAGTAGTGCGTTTGTGGGGGTAGACCTCATACATCCCGTGATAGTTCTTAATGCTTGGTATTGAACTTTATCAAGTTTACATAGTTGTGTTTTGCTTGCATTAGATATTAAAAAGCTACCGAAATCAAGATGGGACTTAACAAGGCCGTTGTACGCCATGGCACGACACTCTGGCAAAGGCTCGGAGAAGATTGCATCCACTTTGGGCTTTATTAACTGCCTGGTTGATATGGTGGTTCCACTTAAGGTGGGCATCAAAAATCACTCCCAGGTACCTTACTTTGTTTTTAAGCGTGATATTTATGTTGTTTATCTTAATTGCGGGGGGTATTATTCTTTTGGGTCCCCTCGAGAACCAAATTGCTTCGCACTATTCGGTTGATAATGTTAGTTTATGTCTGACAAGCCAGTTGTGTATATTATCTAGTACCCTATTTATCTTGTGTGTCATTATCCTGATATCACTTCCCCTGACTAAAACCAAAAGGTCATCCGCAAAGGCCAGGACCTTGACATCCCCTTCCACGCACTCAAAGATGGATTTCAAATAAATGTTAAACAAAAGAGGGCTTAAGGGTGAACCTTGCCCCAGTCCATAGTTGATAGGTTCCCTCCCATTGATATTTCCCTTTTTGTCCCTTACCGAGATAATTCTATTGGTTATAATGTTGTAGATTAGGTTGCAGTAGTGTAATGGGATCTCAAGCTCCTTGCAATAATTGTATAGAATTGACGGATCCACGTTGTCATAGGCGGCCTTAATGTCCAACAGGACCGCTAAGGCTGTTTGCTTTTTAGCGAAAGCTAATTGGATTTGTGCTGTAAGATAGGCCGTATTATTAAGCGTTCCCATATTTTTCCTGAAACCGGTTTGAAAGGGACTAAACGTTATTTTGTTTTCCGAGAACCACTCTATTTTGTTTTTAATAAGTCCTTCCAGGAGCCTTAGGGGTACAGGGGTGAGGATTATAGGTCTGTAGTTGTTATAATTGTCAGCTGCTTTATTGCGTTTTAGTATAGGTAGAACAATGAGGTGAAGCCATTTATCTGGTACTTTTTGTTCTGAGATGCATTTGTTATATATATTGACCAGGTTTGAGAGCGCGATTTCAGGGAGGTTTTTAATCATAGAGAACGATATCTCATCTATGCCGGGCGCTGTGTCTTTCTTTTTGTTATGAAGTATCATTTTGAGTTCGTTAATCGTGACCCTAGTAGGACTTTCTTGTGTTAGTGTGATATTGAAGTCTGGGTTAAGGTTAATGTGGCCTATATTGGACAGAATCCGGAGTGCCATGACAATATCAGGAATTGCATTATTTGGAGATTTGGGGGCATTAGAGAATTTTTTTAAAATATTCCATACATAGGAAGTGTCTGTTTCTCTGTTGAGGGTGGCGCAAAATTTTCTGAATTTATTTCTTTTAATTTTATTTAGTTCACGTTTAGTTAATGCAATTATTCTTTTCACTTCAATGAAATTCTCTATATTAGAGTTTGGTATGAAGTTTTTAATGGTGATTTTCCTAGTTTGAATTAATTGTGTACACTCCTGATCCCACCATGGCAATCCCGGTTTTCTGTCTTTTTTGTTTTGTTTTTTTTGGGATGTGGATGTCCGCAGCAGTTTGAATGATGTTCTCGAACCAAGCATATGATATGTGTGGCTCACGGTGCTTTTCGAACTCCTCTTGGATGTTATTTTTATAACCTTCCCAGTCTGCTTTTCTATAATTTCTGGTTGTTTTGTTGTTAGAGATATTGTTTATTTGGTTGTTTGTGGAGTATGTCAGGATAGTGGGGAAGTGATCGCTTGACCCATTGTCCAAAATTTTGCTCTCAGATGCTGATATTAACGTTAGGTCTACAGGGCTAGGGTTGTTCCCCGGTTTTGTAAATCTAGTTGTGGACCCGTCGTTCATGACTACCAAATAGTTATCATTGATAAAATCAAAAATTACCTTTCCATTCTGATTGAAATTATTACTACCCCAAGCAGGATGGTGAGAATTAAGGTCCCCCAAAATAAAAATGGCTCCCTCCAGCTCATTAGTGAGGCTGTTGAGGAACTCCATGGATAGTTTGTGTGTATACACATCCTATAGGATTTACATAAATGTTTAGAAGGTTCAGATTGTGTATTTTAACCGATATACAGCTGACCTTTTCTTGGTCAGTTTCTGGTAATATATTAGTGACTGTGAAAGCTATATTTTTTTTGATTAATGTGCTTATGCCCGCATATCCGTCATGACGATCATTTCGGATCATTTCATATCCAGGAATATGCACTTTTTGATCTGGGAGGAGCCACGTTTCATTAAGGAGTATAGTATCAGGGTTGTGTTCCCTAATTAGCAAGATTAGATTTGACCTATTGGCATTAAAACTTCTAATGTTCCATTGGAGGATTACTAGTTTATGAGCCATTGATTTAGTTTTTGAGTTGATAGTTAGATTGTTCATTTTCTGAATCTTGGTCCATATCTAAGCTTGCATCGTTTGTTTTAAGATTATTGATTACTTTAATGAATTTAGTTTTATTTTGATCTGAGAATTTTTGGAATAGGTTAAGCGATGTTTCAAACTTGTCAAAGTCTGTGAAGAGGTTGGTCTCCATGTCATTATTTAGCTCTATGGCTCCATCATGGTCGCCTTTCTAGGAGCTTTGATTGAAGTTGGGGCTTGTCCCCTGTGTTGATGTCATAGGGGTGGCAGAGGGTATGTACCTAATGAGGCACTCCTCGTGCGCTTTTTTGTCGTATCCTGGTGGTATTGTATGTCTGCTTCTTTTCACAGGGGAGATCATGTGCGAGTATTGTCGTTTTGGACCTCTATTTTCATTGTTGACAGTGTGTCTTTGGGCTATTCTAATTAAATTGTCTTTATTTTTCTTTAATGTATCTGGGAAGTAGTTTGCAAATTCTACGGCCATTTTATTTTTACCCTTATTTTTTAGTTTAGAAAAATTTATAATTTTATTTTTGTGAAGCATTTTTGCCATTGATATATGGGCGTATCTTCCCACATTCCCTGTTTTTTCTGATCCCTCTAAAATTACCGGGTACGGCCCTTTGTCGAGAGATGTGAAATTATTTCGTAACTTAACCCTATCTTTACTTAAATAATTAGCAGCGTCCACAATATTATTGTCATTGTTAGGCTTGGCTGGGCTCATGGCTGGTATAACCGTTTTTGTTGGTTCCC